CTTAAAGAAATATCACAGTTTTATTGGAAATCTCAAGAGCTCGGTTTTGACAATATTTCTAAAAAGAAAAATTACATTGAATATTGGGGGAGGCTTAAAGTCCCTAATACATTCTAAATACATCATCATCAAAATCTATAATATTTTTCCCAACAATTTCCCCCTTTTTGATGATGACAAACAAGTGTTTAAGAGTTCCGGTCGCTGTACTGAGAACTAATTTTATAACTTTCTTTTAGTTTCTCATAATATACAGCTTGTTAACAAAAACTCTTAAACAAATACAATTCAAATTACAATAATTCCTAAACCAAGTTTTGTCTTGAGATTTTGTGATCTCTTCCGCCATTGACTGTTCTCAGCTTCAGCAGATTCTGCTTGGCAGAGTAGTTGGCGTTGCGTTTGATAGATCCTTAATATCCAAAGTGGATATTTAAGATCTTGGAAGCAACACATCTCTCAAAATAAGAAGAAAGATAGAGAGAGTGTTGTTCCAGAGAAGGTGTATGGTCTAATACTGAAAAAAACGAGATTTCCACCATAGACCTTCTCTCTTGCCGAGATTCTCACCATAGACCTTAAAAGTTTTTTTCTTCTCAATAGGCTTCTTCCATTGCCGTCTATGAGGGTGAGAAAGAAAAGTTTCTCCATTGAGGATATTTTTCTTGGTGTGTTCCTTAGACAGTGAGTTTGAAGACTTTTCATATTGAGAGAGTTGTTTGTGATGAAAATGGATTGAGATATCTTGATTTAAATAGGGGAGGAGGAGGTTCACGGGTTCCATTAAGTGGGTAGTTGGAACGGTGGGAGTAAAGGAGTTTCAACTTCCAAGAAGTTGAAAAGCAAAAGGAATCTTTTACCAGTTACCAAGGAATTGAAACTGTTTTAATTAGAAAATCAGTTTCAATTGGTTTGAGAAACGTAACTGTTTTAGTTTGGCTAAGCCCAAAAGAGTGGCCCAAAAAGAACAGAAAGCTACGTACTTAAGGGAAATTATTCCTATTGGGTTCTCAAGGCCCAAAATAAGACTATCATTTTTCATTCCCTGTAGTTCTAATTTCTACATAGGACGAGGTAACACCAAAACAAATGTGAATATTTAAAAGAAAGGTGGTACTATTTTTCCAAAGTCCTGTACATTTTTAAACATCCTAGGGACCAGTACTTTTAGAGCCGGTTGGAAATGAATTAAGGACTGAAACTTAGTTTAAGAAGGCAGATTTTGTAAAGTACCTGAATCGGAGATTTCCAATTTTAGTACCAAAACTGAGATATCCGTCTTCCATTGCTTTGAGCTTATCAATAATTCATTGCCAAAAACAATTGTTAGCCAAAACTAGTTAAGTTCCCCCTGAATTACATTCCCCCTACTTGTGATAAGCATAATTAAGCATAATAAGCGCAATTAAGACATAATTAAGCAATGTTTAAACCAATCAAGCAATGTTTAAACAAGAAGGTGTTTTCATCAAAACAAATTAGTGTTTTCACATACTTTCCCCCTGTTTTGATTTAAAGAACCTTCAGTTTCTCTTGCGCTTTGAAGATCCGGCAACTTCACTGATGCCCTTCATGTTCCCACACAGTTCTTTGATGCGTCTTAAATTTTCACGTCTTTCTTCTGATTGAGCATCATTTGAGAAGTGGTCAACAAATGTACCTATAACTTCTGTTCCATCCAGTCCTGAGCTGGATAGAAGTTGTGCTGAGTTTTCCGGATTTCTTTGTTGTGCTTCAAGGATTAGATTTGTCAAGTTCAGATGAGAAGGAATATAAGATACTTCTCCTTCTTTGATTGCAATAGGGAGTTGTGGTATTGGAGATGGACTGTGTTGTTGGAGAATTACTTCCATCTTGCGGTTTCCAGAGTTTGCACCAATAAGTCTGAACAGCTTGAATGCTTCCTTTTGATTGTCAATGATTACCTTCAAGTAGTCCTTGGTTACTACCTGATTTGCAGAAGCTACGGCTAGGGCTGATCTGATGTCCATTTGGAGAAGGGACATCTGTTTTTGGAGACTAATTGTGACACTTGCTATTTGCTCTTTGACTTTGTTGATCTCTTTGAGATGAAGCTGACTGTCAGAGGCATACATTTCCATCGTGTTGCTTACAGTTTCACTCAATAGAGAGATAATCTCCAGAGTCTTCTGCACTGATTTGCTTATTTCTTTGAGATCTGCGTTGTGTTTTCCTTCAGATTTCTCTATTAGCTGGGTGTGCCTGACTTCCATTTGTTCTATCTCTTGCCTAAAGGAGGCATGTTGAGATGCTAGGGCTGATTCAATCAGCCCTTGGACCTTCTTTGTCCAGATTTCCGGTATCTCATCCGGAAGAGCAGGGGTGGAAGAGCTATGGAAATGAAAGTTGGTTACCTGATGAGATGATGGTATTCTTTGGAAGAGTTGCATAGGAAGAGATTCAGCATCTTCTTGGACATCTTCTTCATCGGTAACCTTCAGTGTTCTTTCAGATTCTCCTTCTGTTTCAAGCACAAAATTTGATATATCCCTAGAGAGGGAGTCCCTTTCTTCAGCTGTATTCTCTTTTTCAAAAATGGCTACTTGAGTTTCAGAAACCTCTAGTTCTGCCATTTGAGCTTCTTTTGCAGCTTCTTCAGAATTCTTTTGTGCTTCAACAGCTTGCTCCATTGTTTCTGGAAGAGCTGACTGTTCAGGAATTTCAGCTGACTTTTCCGGGATCTCAGTTTCAGTAGAATTGGAGATCTCACAAGGAGTGGTGAGAATCTCCAAAACTTGAGATTGGATTAGCGGCTGAAATTCTTCTTCATCTACTATTTCCTGGTTCTGTTCTTGGGAGGGAGGGGTTGCCTTCTCTTGAACAACTTCAGTCAGAACCATTTCAGAAGCATGTGAAGTTTCCTGAAATGCGGGTGAGGTTTCCGTTTCGAGGGCAGGTGAGGTTTCCGGAAATGTTTGGAAATCCTCAGCTGTTGCTTCAGAAGTGAGAGCCACTTGATCTTTTGTAGCTTTTGAGAAGACTGGCTTGAAGACTGCAGTGTCTTCATCATCTGCTTCACAGTCTAAAACTGGTGTATTGGCCAGGTATTCCAGATGCAAGTCTTCAGGGTTCCTTTGCCATACCCAGTAGTCATCCAAAATCTGTTCACAGTTGTGGTTGACTGGTATTCCTAAGCACTTCTTGATGATTTTCTCATTCTTCAGCTGTTGGTCCCAATTCAACAGTTGCTCTGCTGAATTCCCAACTTTCCAGGCTTTCTAATCATAGTATAGCTGCCAGAATTGGTTATCTGCATCATCTGTTTGATGCTGATATGAGGTTGGAAGGCTTTGGTCTTGAGGAATTTCTTCTTCAAATTGTTGAGGCCTCCGGTTATGAGCAGATGTTTCCTCAGCACGTTCCTTTTCCTTCAACTCATCCGGATTGATATTTCCAGATGTTGAGGGGGAGTTGATCTTCCTCTTCTTCTTCCTTTGAAGTTCTCCTTGGTCAGAGGATTCTTCCTCTTCTTCAAGATTTATTGGAGCAAGATTCTGTGGTGCTTCAATGGAGGGAGACACCACTTTCTTCCTTTTGGTAGTCTTCGTCATATGGATGAGTGGGATGTTATCTGAAGAGCTTTCTTCTGCAGTGGCACTAGTACCAGCTCTGTTTTCCCCTTTTGAAGACAGATAATATA